TACTTTATTATCTATTACTATATTAAAGAATACTATATAAACTATACTAAAGAATACAGAAAGGATACTTACTGAATGCTAAAAAGCTGATAATGAAAACTCGTGACTCTTTCCAGAGTCTTGACATAGCTTGGCCCTGACTGGCCAAAGAGTTAAAATAACTCATACCAGAATCCAATGAAACAATCACCTGTGGGTAAACAATCTCTAAACACATTCCACATGTGAGTACAACACAGGAGAAGCAAATTGATAAGAGAAAATAATTGTTTTCCTTTTCTCTGAGGCTTCTCAGCTTCCCAGGAGAAAAATCCTGGGCGAAGGGATTTTTTCAGAGAATGTGAATGCTATACTGAGGCAGTGGCAGGCTGGAAAATTTCCAGGATGATGATCCTGGGGCACTTGTTGCTGTGTGTTTGTACATATTTTTTTTAGGTGGGCTTGGGCTCAGAAGTGACGAGGCAAATGAAATCTCATGAGGGTGTTTTGAAGGCAAAAATGTCCTCTCTGCTGCAGAAGGTGCCTGAAGAACCAAGGGATGTGTTGGTGCAGTATCTCTCCTCTTGTGCCTTTTATCCACATATTTGCCACTGGCTGCTGCCACAGAGACTCTGGCTCTGGCTCATTCACATGGAACAGCAGGTCATAGGCAGGAAATATAATACAAAATAATCACTTTGGGACAGTACAGATTTGCTTTTGGGTTCTCTTAACAGGGTGTAAATACTTTGGATGTTATTTGAATATAGTTGAATAGCAAAGTGGTTTTGCCTTTTAGAGCTTTCCTTCTTTTAAGCTGAAAGAGAGTAATTGCTAAAATCTAAAGCTATTCAGGCAAAATTTCATTACTGAAAAGAAGGTTATGCATGCAAATCTGCATGGTACACATGTTTGATTTGATGTCTAAGTTTCAAATATGTATCCAAATGTTAAGATGCTGGCAGAGATTCAACCAGGCTAATATCAAACTTCAGCTGTTGCTTCAACACACTGGATATGTATTTTGCCTAATTTATGTTTAGTTCTAACAGTGGCAAGCTGTGTTGCCCTAACTGTAGTTTCAGAGAAAGCTGTAGTGTTTTTTTTTCTCCTTCTGTTTTTTTGTTGTTCCAGAAAACAGTGAAGGTTCTGTGAAGGTTCTGGTCTAAAGCTAAATTTCTTTTTAAAATCTTTTCTTTGGCTCTAGATTTATAAGCTTTGAGCATAAAATAGGGCCATTGAGTATGTTCACCTCTGGATCTGATTTTTGTGTTGACATAGCCAGTGTACTATACACTGAAGTACTTGACTGTGCCCATGTTGATATTTTAAGATAGGGCTCAGAGAAATATGACATCTGCAAATGTAAATCATGATGGTCACACCACATAACTTTAATCACTTCATTTCAGGACTTCCCTTTTCCTTTAGGCTAGTGGAGAGAAAGGTTCCTGCAGGAATCCTGTGGACCATCTCTGAGAGGAACTGGGAATGGAACTATCCTCTCAGAAATGTCTCCTCTTACTATGTGTATATAAGCACTTCTGCAGGAATATCACAAAATCCTTCTTTCCTTTTCAAACTAAAATTCAAAGTCCCACTGAGTAGGAAACTAGGTAGTAATTGGAGGCTTTTAGTGAAAATCTCAGTACTGTATAACTAAATTGTGCACCATTGTAGCAGATTGCAGTTCTGCACCATAGTTCAGCTAACATTTGCATGAAGTGCACAGAATTGGAAATGTGTGTAAGGTAAGAGTTTCTTGTTTTTTCTTAATGGGAAGAGAGCAGGCAAGCATCCTAAAATATTTCTTATCAAGTGCAGTAATCTTAAATAATCTGAATCCAAAATTAGAATCTGTCCTGGTTCTGTCCAGGGAATGCTAAATTGGAGAATACCATTCCTAAACCATGACAAAATCCCACATGGAAGGGAGATCCCACAAGGGATCCCAAAATCTCACAAGGAAGAGAGATTATGAAATACACAGAACAAAACCTGAAGCACTAGGAAATCAGAATAGTGAAAAATGGATGTCTGTGATGTAAACATCTTTGCAGATTTGTTTCTATTCCTGGAACTGCAGAGAATGCCTTGACTAAAGAGAACAATTAAGAGAAATGTAGCTTCAGAAGGCATGTGGTTAACCACCTCCCTGAGGAAATCTTGGTATCAGTAGAGAAAAAAAAGATATTTCAATTGTATTTTGGAATAGGACATTCTGTTCTGTGATACAGTGCTGTGAAATCATGGTGTCATGATAATCCAGGCTAGTGTTTAGTCTGCACTCTGCTCCTTTCTGTGTGAGAGAGAATTCAAAACAAGTAGCTCCTATAGTTTTGTGTTTTTAAACAAAACAAGCAACACTTGCTTGGTGGTTCATTGCTGTAAAGTAAGAAAAAAAGATACAGAATGAATCCCTGGAAACCCAGGGTTATCAAAACGTGTGCTGTGTTAAATATTTACATCTATTATCTTAATGCTCAAGCAATTAGCAGCAATGGGAATTTCAGGTAGATACTCCAGAGTAACAAATGTTTTTTAGTTGTTTGTCTGCATTTAAATGGCAAAATTGAAGAGCATGAAGGATTCCAAAATCAGGAACACATAAATCTGTTACATAGGACAAGTCGTGGGATCCATGTGTGTTTTGAGGGTGACCACCAGTGATCTGAGGAATGGAGTGTAAAATCCAGTACATCTGTGAGAGTTGGGTTTTTTGGGGAGCAGGAGAGTGGGAAAAAGTGAAAAAGCAAAGAGAGAATCTCTGTGAAATGTGTGTCATTATACACACATATCACAGTATCAAGGTGCTGTAGGCACAGCTTCATTTTAATAGGATTTGATACAAGAATGTCATCAGGGCTTGTGGCAGATAAACTTAGACTTCTTCCTTCCTTATGTTTTCCAGATGCTTTTTAGAGTCAGTAGAGATTGTAGGTGTTTCCTGCAATTCAATTAAAGTTTTTTACATTTTCTTCCTCATTGCATATAGTCAGGGTAATGCTGAGGTCCCTTCTACCTGCAATTGCTTTGCCTGGCATAAAGGAAATGCAATAGTAGTATGCAGAAAAAGAGAAGAAAAGATTTAATCAATTTACTGGGTAAATGCTGTCTTCCATTAGTTGAAAAAAATTTCTAGAGACCAATTAAATGCCCACATGTCCATGGCCAGCGTAGAGTCTTGTCTGTCTTTCCAGTTCTTCCCTTTGGGATTCCAAAATTTATGATGGGCTTTGTCAATTAATATCTTTCTAGTGAACGTGGCAATTACAATTGTTATTTCAAGACAGAATGTCTCATAGCTATACATTGTTAATTCTCTTGTTCCAAATGGTCTCCCAAAGGGAACATGAAGCTACAGGTGCACATTCATGACTGGAGAACAAACACTTTAGTATGTTAATAAAATGAAAGAAAGGCATGAAAAATCCATAAGAGTTCTGCATATTCCATGGCATTCACGTGGCTTATTGAGGTAACTTTTTTTCCCAAAGTCTTCACAAAACCTTTGATACTATTCAATATGTCTGCTAGCACAGACAGGCTTGCAAAATTAAGTGCTTGAAAGTTAAAAAGTGACCAGATGACCTTAACCTGTCATCAGCATTTGTGTTCTTTTCACAGGTTTTGATAAATTGTACTTCTGAACTTTGCCTACAAGTGTTGCACGCTTCAGGTTTACTATAGAGGAATGCTTCCTCCTTGTAAAATCTGCTAGGGTGGCTTTCATCCATGGCCTAATTCTGGGATAAATTTTCCCAAAACCCTACAGAAATAAATATAAGGAAAAACCACAACGAGTCGACTTCTTCTATGGCTGTCATTAAGTAGTAAATCACAGTAAATCTTTCTGGTGTTTGATAAAGTAAGTTATGTTTAGCAGACAGATTTTTACTGCTGTTTGCTAATAATACTATGTTCAAATTTTAGTTCAACAAAAAAAGCTGGATAAGAGACTGTGGTGCTAATTTGAGTTGAGTATTACTTGAATCATCAAAGCTGTTCTAAAACCAAATGAAGCTCAACAAATGGCTTAGTCTTGCTTGTATGTGGAGCAGGGAGGAGTGAGAGAAAACCTATCCACCTAATTATGAATTCATTGTTGTCCTATTGCACACCTGCACATCAGGACAGAAAGCTTTAATTAATTTCCTAAACTGTCCTCTCATTTATGGGGGGAAAGCAAGTTGCAGGCAGTTCCCTAAAGCAGTATGTAGCATGAATTATTGACCTAAAGAATAACTCTGTTTCTACACTCTGCACACTGACAAAACCAGTGCTGGGTATTGCTGCTTGTGGAATCACATTGCCTTTTGCAGTATTTTTCTCCAGCTCTACTGTTAAACTTTGTTATCAAACAAAACAATTCCACAACCAGATGAACAGACCAAGCAACTCTGTGACCAGAAGGTCCACAGTTAATACAGCAAATATTTAGACCAAATTTGTTTCCAACCTGCTCTGGTCAGACCTTTGAGCCCTGCATTGGACATCAAATAAGGCTGTTGTGGTTTAGGAATGGTATTCTCCAATTCATTGCTCCCAGTGAAACATTCCTAACCACATGCCCCTCACTCATTCCCTGTCTTTCTCCCCCTGAGGTGGAATGGAGAGGAGAATTGGAGGCAGGAAAAGCAAAGACTGCTGGTTGAGATAAGAACAATGTACTGAAAGCAGCAGTGAAATAAGAAACTAGCAGTAACAGCAGCAATTGTAATAACAAAGTGTACAATGGGCGAACAATTCACATGTGAGTGCTCAGCACAGCTTCTCTGGTTGCCAAAAGTAGAACACTTCGGTTCACAAGAAGATACTTTGGCTACTGTAGATTTTTATTTCCATTTTAAAAATATTTTCCATTAGTTTAGTTTTACCAACAATAGTATTGCAATAACAAACCAAGGAAGAAATGACTGTGATGTAATTGTAAGGGTTTTGCATACATTTTCCCACTCAGATCTCCTCAGATCTGAGATATCTGGTTGAAGATAACCTGAAGGGGACATCTATGTCACCTTATGCACTCTATCATACTTGTCATGTGCTTAAATTACACGATTTTTTTTTTCATAAACTTTTATGTTGTGATTCATGGATGGTTTTGAGAATGTTTTCCATAGGAGGAGTTTGTTCATCTCAAGTTGTCTTGCAGATGTGTTGAATGCTGCCTGTCTTCAAAGAGGAATAAAAGGAAGTTAGATTAACTAAATCAGATGATTGGATCAACGACTCAGCTATGGAAGTCAATTGAACTGCCTTTCTAAAAACTGTGAAAGCAGTTCTCAATCAAATCACTCCACCAGCAGCAGGACAAACAGACCCTGCTTTCTTACAGATATGCCTGAGTAGCTGGACTTTTTGGTGTCTGGGAAGATGTGAGATCCAGCTGATGCTTTTTTTGCAGACAGGATTATTTCAACCCTGCTGCTGTGTGGGCACTTTTGCCTGTGTGGTAAGACTGGAACAAAAGTTACAGCCATTCTGTCTGTTCAAGTGTTGAGACTCTCTCTTCTCAGCTTAACTACCTGATATCATAATGCTTGATGAAAATCACTGTCTTTGAGGAAATTAGTTTATTGATTCAGAAATTACTGGTGAGAGAGAGATAAGGATCATTTCTTTGGGAAGCCTTGGTATAAAAAGTTATAAGGTAGTGAAGACCAGAGATAACTAATTTTAGTACAGTCTTACAAAGTGAATTCTGTTTTTCTTCATTGCTTTATAATATAGGGAAGTTTAAAATGTTTAAGCCTGTTTTGGGCTTGGTTTTTTGTTTGTTGTTTTGGGGTGGTTTTTTTTTTGTTTTGCTTTGTTTTGTTCTAGGTTTTGGTTCTGGTCTTTTTTAAAATTGTAAATCGCCTTCAAAATACATTGCTTTGCATACACTGGAAGCTATAATATCCATCAAGATATGCTTGTGATGTGAAAATTGTGTGCTTTCATTCTCTTCATAAGGTGAAGGAAAATGGCTTTTATTTTTCTGAGTGTGACACAGGCATTTCTCCTTGCATGTTGCTTTGGAGAGCTTCTTCCTTACTTGTCTTGAGCATTTTCCATTTTTTTTAGTAAATACTCAAATAATTTTAATTGAACTGTGCTACTGAGTCAGTCCCAAATCACAAAAATTCCCCCTCTTTAACTCTAAGCCCTTCTAAATGCTTCCCAAAGCATGTAGCTCTGAATTAAAATCAGTGTAAGGAAATGTACAATAGGGAAAGGGAGAGCCAGGGAAATAACATCTCTCAATTTGACTAAAGTAAATTAATTAGTGTAATATGTAAGATAAGAGGGAAAGGCAAGTTCTTCCCTTTGACACTGGAACCTCGGGATAGAAACATCCTGAGGAGGAACTTTGTCTCAATTCATGCTGATAATTAATGCTCACATTTTGCTTTTTTTTTAGAAACTTCACTCCCCCTGTCTTGAATTAATCTTTCACTGAAATTTTGCTTCAATACAATTTTTAAGAATAAAGAGGGAATAAAAACATTTCCTTTTTTTTTTAGTTATAGTGTATCTGAAATAGCAACAATTATGCTACAGAAAACCCAATCTCAGTAATATGAAAAACTGAACGAAGGCATTCTTAACACTGCTGAACTTAATTGTCATGTAAGAGCCTAATGTTAGCCAGTTCCAATTTCTTCATCCAGCAAAAAGGATATATGCAGCTTTGTGTGGGAAGAGAATATAGAAAGCCTAATTTATCTTGCAGTAGGAAAACCTGACTAGAAGTTGATTATGTCAGTCACTGCTAATGTTTCTGTTTCTGAAGACTAAATATGAGCAAAAAATGATAGTGCAGAACCTTATTTGAAATCCATTTCCCTTTGTTCCCCCTTCATTTGTAGAAAGGGGTGCCGTGCTGTGGGCCTGTACTAAGTTTACTTCAACAGCTGGATGCAGTGATTGATTAGATGGAGAGGCAACAGGCTCCAGGGTATGTCATCCATTCATGAGTCACAGGATTATATCCATTCTGGTTTCTTGATAGCATGTGACTTATAGGGAGCACTCCTGTGAAATCCTCTTTACAATTGCTGGAGAGTAGCAAGAGCTGCTGCTTCCAGCCAATCCCATCTCCTGGCTGTCAGCTCTCCATTCCTTTCATCTCGAAACCCAAATGTTCCCAGCTTCTCTTAAGTGGTCAGTGCCTCCAAGAAACAGCTTTTCTCAGTGTGAATTCCAGTGATAATTTGCAGTGACTTGTCTTGACTGAAAGGAGTTGAGGGAAATAACAGTAGTACCATTTTCTTCACAGTCTCAGATATTAGCAGGGGAATTTTAAGGATGGTGTGCACTGGATGAGTACCTTATGCAGACCTAAGCCATGTACTGTTTAGTGCACATTAATATCATTACATAAGGTGTAACATGTTTCCATCACATAGATAAATGTGTAGAAGAATCAGTAATCAATAAACGTGTAGGAGAATCAAAATTATAATTATATACATGAGGGTTTTCTTCAGGCCCAGTAAAAAACATGAGAACCTACTAATTCAGGTTGTGTGTCTATTCTGTGTCAAAGTGCTCTCCATTCCTTGGCCTCCAGATCTATCAGTTTGTTTCTTTTCATACAATTGGCTCTGAATTTTTTGATAGACAGTTAGCAAATATGCAAGTCTGTGAAATTACACATTACAGATGAATACAGATGGCTTTTTAGGTTTCTTTTTATCCAAGATTCATATATTGAAACAAAGTTGATGTCCCTGCCATTGCTTATCATCACAAATAGTCTGCAAATGACATTGTAAAATAGTTTTGCATCACAAAACCTTATGTGTCAGCTTTCATATTTTTTGCTTGGTATCAGAAAGTATTTCTTCTGTTGCCATGTTTTCTACATGTTTTCCACATTGGCATAATCCTATTAATCCCATGATACAGATGTGAGCATCTTGGATCAATATAAACTGCATTTTTAAACTTTTTTCATATAAAGCTATGCAAAATGAAAATCATGAGACTAAAAATAAAAGCAGTGGAGAGTTGTTGACAGACAAATAAAAGAAAGCATTTTTAGGTGATCCTCCAGGTTGTACCAAAAGAGGCCAAATCTCAGGGCGCGTTTACAAGCAATCATCTGAAATTTTTCCTCACTAAAGAAAGATCTTGCTCTAAAAGATTACAGACTCGTGCCTCACAATTAAAAGAAAATAATTTACTTCCATCCCTAGATAATTTTGTCTTGGTTGCTAGTCATGTTTCTAATGTAATTGGTAGACCTTTCTGTCTTGTCAACTTTCAAAACCTTTTATTACTGTAGAAAAGCAGCTGACTGTTTCTGGAAGTAGGTAATTGAGTATTTGACCTATATTATCTTTACTGTACTCTTTGCATTTAAAAAAGCTGATTCTCATTTAGTTGCTGAGGAATTCCAGATGCAGAGCTTTGACATGGTGAATGTCTTTAAACAAAGAAGGTCTCTCAGTTCAGGGTTTGGTTCTTTACTTCCACCTACCAAAACAGACAAGTCCTTCTTGCAGATCCTCATATAATTGTTTTTCAAACATGCATTGACTACTTGCCACAAGTAAGAAGTGCTGAGTAAATTCTCCACTGAAATGACTTTTTCTTAAAGGACTGAAAAATGGAGAATTATTCCATAGGGAATTCAAAACAGAGGTTTTAAGCAAAACTCATAACCTCCAGTATAATCATGGGAGGAAACGAGAAAATTTGTCAAACTCACTTACCTGAAGCTGCCCATTGTGACAACTGTTTTTCCTCAGTCTTGGAATATGTGTAAAGCAAACCAATGACTTGGAATGTTGTTCAGCTTGTAGAGTTTGAAGCTGCCACAGGTGTATCCTTGAGTGAGACCTTAAGAACACAAAGAACAGCAGGGAATTTCCTCTGAGGCTTTTTATTTCTCCCACACCACCTGCTACTAACACCATCAAGTTCATTCCAGAGTAAATTGTTGTGGAGGAGGCACTCTTTTGCCTGTTTTTAGCAGGATCCCAGGAGCTCAGGCTGTCTTGGCAATAAAAATAATCTGGATATAGGTGAGATGGCTCAAGAATAAAGTGGTTGGAATATGTAGGAACTATGCTGTGAGTTTGGAGGAGTTTGCAATACCAAATAGGAAGAAAATGAGAGTTGAAATACTTGTTTAAAAATGATGTGTGATTTTTAAAGTTTCTTTCAAATATGTTTGAGTTGCGTCTCATATTTCCCAACAGATATGGGGATCTTATGGCATATTTATATATAGACTTGCAGTTCTGGTTTTGTGCTACCACCAGAGACGAGGTTGCTGCAAACAGTGTTGGCACAGAAGCGGGATGTAAAACAGAGAAGGCTCCTTTTCAGAAATTTGACCAAATTGCAGTAAAGCTGAGTAATTCTAATGAAGAGAACTTGTGAGAAGACTTGTAGAAATTTTATATTTCTTGGAATGGTGCTAACAGGAAGGCTCTTAGATCATTCTAGACCTTTTTCTGGCTTCCTCTGTCTTCTGTGCAAGTCATCGCTACTAAAGCTTTATTAAAGGAGTTATTTGAAATTACTGCTGATTTCAGGTATGAACAAAGCTCAGACCCTTTTAAAAATGTTTAATATTTCACAAGCCATGTTGAATGTATATCTTATTTGTGGATTATGACTTGTAATTTATTTTTGTATGTGGCATACAAAGTTTGTGTGAATTCATCACCAGTGAAGATGTACATCATTGCACATTTAAATCCAGTGGCTGGTGTTGCTGCTTTGTTTTAGAGATCCTCATGCTTACTCCATAATAAAAAAAAAAATAAATCTGTGTTTTGTCAGCACTGAATATGTAAAAGTATCTTTGTTGGATTGTAGAAATTCAACTTTTATATGGCTTAGTTATCTCTTTGGTTTGTAATGCTATGAAAGCCAGCATGCCTTTGTCTGTATCTATTCTTTTTCAGGGGTTTATATTCAGGTACACAGTGCTGCTGTTGTCTCAGTCACACTTTTGCTCCTTTTGGGCTTACTGTGCAAATCATTGTAAGAATGGGGCTTACAGTTGATGTGAAGTGTATTCTTCCAGGTTAATTGTTAAAAAAAATTCAGGATGAGCAACACAAAATCCAGCATAATTCTGAATGAGAGTACCTACATGAGGATTTACTGGTTTAAGTATTTTATTAGATTAATTTGGATTTCTGAGTGTACTTAGGTAATTGAGCTTTCCGACATATGCTATGGAATAATTTCCTGCCAATTTCAGTACTGTGTGGCTTTGTAACTTGAAGATGTTTATACTTTTTATTTCTTTTGTCTCTTAACCACACTACCAAGTAAATTTTGATACTTCTTATTACTTCTCAACTGCTACCTCTTAGCTACTGTATTTTAGGAGATATTAATAAGCTCCAACAATTCAAAACTCGTCTTCATGCTGCAAATTTCTCTGAAGTTGTGTTACTTTATCAGAATGCCCTAAGTCTGCCCCTGCAACAACTCAGCTGGGGTGTAAATGCTCTGACTGCACCAAAAAGTTGCTCCTATAAAGTTTCTCTCTCTTCAGATGCTGTTAGCTAATGTAGCACCTAGGACAATCTGCTGTTGAACAGATATGCTCCCCAATTTGTGGTGGTTGTTGTTGGTGCTGACACAGCACAGAGGCTGATGAGACACTAAAAATGAGGTCTTTTTTTGTGCATTTGGATGCCAGTGCCCAAGGTAATGATTGGTAGGTTTCTAGAGGTTCAGCCAATTGTTTGGCTGTGATTCAAGGACTTCAGGGATATGTTTTGGAAACACATTTCTATAGCAGGCATGTGCTAAAAACAATCTCTTTCCCACTGCTGGTGCAGGGAAAGGAAACAAGCCATAGTGATTCTACATGATCTATTTACATGTAAGTTCTTCTGTGCTGCTTCATATGTTCACAGAGGCAGCTTTTGGCTTCTTTTTTTTAAATCCCAAAGTTTTTGATTTCCCAAAGAATAGGGCTGATTTGTTTATTTGTGCTCTGTATAAGCTTAGGAGAGAACCAATGTACGCACTCTATTTCCTGAGAGCCAGGGTAAGTTGTCCCCAAAGAGGCAAACAGCTGAGCTAAAGGCTGTAGCTGACGTGGGAGAGTCTCTGATGTGACAGCACCGTGGCTGTTCATGGCAGGTTTGCTGCTGCTCTTGCTGCCCTGAAGGATTTTTTGCTGAAGGTAGGAATACAGTGCAGGCAGTGAGAATTAGAGGGCTGCTAGTTCAGGTTGCTGGCTCTGCTTGTAATACAGCTTGGCATAGCTTGTAAGGAGATCTTTTGCACAACCTGAAGTTTGTCAGCTCAGCTGCAACTCCTTTGTCTCTGGCTGCAGTTCTTTATTTGGTATATGAACAGCAGAGATCTGAATTACTGGGGGCGGGGGGGGGAGGGATGTGGGGTCTGGGGCAGGTGGAGAGAACTTCACTGTGCTGGCAACAAGGAATTATTATCCAGTTTTAATAATCTGAAGTATTAGAGAAATGGTCACTGCATCAGGTTCCAGAGGAAGGAAAAAAGGGTTGGCTTGGGACATTTTTGAGCCACCAGACATATATTCAAACTGCCTTTAAAACATTGACTCCAATGCTCATTTTCTCCAGACTTTAAAATGTGGATTGGGGGTGGATGGGGGCACTGGTTTGACTCACAGAAGCAAAGGTTTATCTGTAAGCAGTGTTTCTTTTTGGTGAGCTATAATATTCAAAAACTAATCCTTGAGGGACTGCCAGTGGAGAATTTGTTCAAAAGCCTTGGAGCAAAAGCTTTACATGAATTGCAAAAAGAAGGAAGCCTTTTGATGTTTAAAGGAGTTTGTCAACATGCTCTCAATGTGTCAGGATATGTGTCTCTTCCCCTCACCCTGCCTCTTGTTGAATGTCCTGTTGCTTGATTTTGTGAAATAAAGCTGGGCTGTGCCTAGGACTGGGAAAAAAGTTGGTTCTTCTGGGATAAAAGACATTTGTTTTTGTAAAAAGGTGTATTCACATGAGAACAAAGAAGAAAACCTAAAAAATTTAAAAGTCCATAATAGCAGCTTTTGTGAATGAAAGTGGTTAAAGGAATAACTAAGAACAAACTCTTTTTGTTGAGCCTGGTGAGAGGTGCCAAAAGGAAGCTGGAGATGAAGAGAGGAATATGAATAAAATTTATTTTATGTTACATTTCTGTCAAGTTAAACCACCTATGACACTGAATGCAACTTGTCATTTTGTATGCTGTAGCACACCAAACAGCAAAGCTACACTTGGGAGAGACAATATTCTAAATGGCATTTGCAAGGACAGTCCCTTAAGCTCACAACTTTTCCACGCATGCACACAACTATCCAAGCGTGTGACTGTGGCTTCTTACTCATGAGCAACCAGGAAGTTGCTTTTCACATTCTTTTATTCCCTGTTCTGCCGGTGGTGGCACCTGAGAAAGCCTCTGGTCCTGCAGTGTCTTCTCTGGGCAGCCTTTGGCCGTGGCATGGTACAAGTGCTTCCCTTAAACTGAGCCTGACCCTCTGATCTCACACACAGGACTCGGGTCCTGCTGCTTTTGGTGGAGGCTGTCCCTGCTCATGTTGGGCTCCTCTTTGCTGTGGCATCCAGGTTTGCAATACACTGGGGTTTACCCCCTAGTTCTCCTTCTTTTTCCTTACAAAACTGCAGGTTATTCCATAACCTGAAGAAGACTGCATAGACACTCACCTACACATTCTGCTTTGCACACAAATCCTAATTTTGTTGGTGCAGACCACTCCCTTAGCCCTCTTCCTCATCACCTGCTGCTTCTCAAAATGGCCATGAACCACATGTTCAGGGGTGCTATGGACTGAAAAACTACTGTTACCAGAAGACGAATATCTATTTATAAAATAATTAAAGCCAGTTGGATGCCCAAAACATTTGAATTTCAATTGGAAATATACAGTCTTGTTAACTGAATGTAATGTTTTGCCAGATTTCTTTTAAGTGACATAATGATAAAAGAACTCAACCTGTTTTCAAATGGCTGCATATTAATAGCTTTGAGCAGGTGCTCTGGAATTCAAGAGAGTCTGTGAAATTTCAGAATGCCCCCTCCTCTCATTGAAAGCTTATTTCTAAAAAGTGCACATGTCTTTATTCCACTGTAGCAAATGTGTGAGACTATGATCTGTTTGTACTTCTGCTGTATTTGAGATTGGTATTTTTGTAAGGATCCATCTTGCATTTGTCTCAAGTGGAAATTCCACAAAAGCTTAGTCAAAGGACATCTAAAACATATCATTTTAGGGTCCCCAAAGTGCAAAAACAGTTCGCATAAAGCTTCCAGGAAGAAAAATACCAAACAACAAGAAAAAGCCCTAAACATCTCTGAAATGTCTTTTGTCACCTGACCTGCAATTGCTCCAAAAAGCTGGCACAGAAAACTACAAAACTGCATTTCATCTGCAGTTACAGACTGATAGATATTCTTTGTGGCTGACAGTAGGCAGTGAGGCGTAATTATTTTTTTTTTCCTATGGCTGTTTAGCGCAGTAAGTAAATTTAGGTCAGACTCTCAGCCATTTGATCATATGCCTGGAGATGTAATACAGTTTGTCTAATAGCCAGGGGAAACAGTCATTTAACCAAGTAACTGTTTCATTTCTTTAAGTGACTAATTTGATCGACAAGGCCCAGTTCACAAGCAAACAATAGATGCTACAATGGGATGTTCTTAGCCTGACCTTCCTGCCCAGCTGGATACCAGTGGGCTCTGTCAGCATGGAGATGTTTGCCAGCTTGAGGGAAGGGTTTCAGCACCATATCTGTGATAGTTACATCATGAGGTGCATTGCATCATGTGTCTACCACAAATAATTCGCCTCTCTCTTTTTCTGCCACAAGGTATCT